CAGATGTTGAAACGTTTGCGAAAAGGATTTTGACATGTTATCTTAATGCTGAGTTTTGAAAAGTCTTTGCGAGCACTTTGTAAGTTGTCGTACTGGGGCTACGGACCTCCGATTTTCTTATAATTTATATGCACGCGTAGCCCAAGGTGTCTAGTTTCATTATATATAAACCTTGCAAAGAAATTCTGAAAGATCGATTTGTCATGAATTTTACCAGCCAGGACATTTGGGATATTTCCACTATTTTCTCTCTTATTTTGCGAGTTATGTTTCGAGGGGGAAACGAACTCCAAATCACTATTATTTTATATGAACGTGAAGCCCCAGATGTCTAGTTTCCAGATTACAAAGAATATAATTTTGAATCGTTGAACTGGATTTTATACGAATTTTTAAAGACAGCAAGGTCTATCAGGAAATTTATATTTTTAATAAGTTTAAGAAATTTTGTGTACTCTGATTTTTGTAATTAACCAGATCCCCTCTTTAGTTTTAATTGGCAATGTAAAAGCGAAATTTTTTTCAGTCTCTAAAATACTATTAAAGAACTCTAATTCCGCTTAGCAAACAACTCTCTTGGAGGCCTACAAGAGAGGGTGTTACACTCCCCCTCTTCTCCTCCGAGTGAATGTAAGTATTAAAATCACCCATAATGCACCATTCATTATTATTTTGCGGCTGAATATTCTCCAAAGCATCCCATAGAGCATGATGCTCTTGACGCCGAGGACTAGCATAAACAAAGGTGAAAAATTCCTGCTTATGATAATTAAGCCAGCTTATCTTTGAATGAATAAATTGATGATCAGTATGCAGAACTTGGATATTCACTTCTGTTGAATTCCAAAGAATCCATATGCCTCCTGAAAAACCAATCGGGTCAGAAATAAAAAAATTTGAGAACCCTAGGCTTTTAGCCACCTGCTTTGCACGCAGTCCACCAATACGGGTTTCCAAAAGCACGAAGATACAAATACGATATCTTCTTGTGAGGTCTTTTATTAGGGGGGAAAAGCCCTTAACCCTAGGCTTTTAGCCACCTGCTTTGCACGCAATCCACCAATACGGGTTTCCAAAAGCACGAAGATACAAATACGATATCTTCTTGTGAGGTCTTTTATTAGGGGGGAAAAGCCCTTTTTTCCAGCCCCTCTACAATTCCATGAAACAATATTCATAAAAAACAAATACAGAGAAGAAGAAAGAATGGTATGAACACCAATCATTGAGGAACAGTTTGCACACTTAAATCTCCCGAAATGGAAGCACCATCCGAATCCACCAAATTGTTGTGAGCCTGATTGCCTAACACCGATTTAACCAAAGCATCAGGGGGTTCATTAGTCTCCTTAAACTCTTCGTCTGGTATTAAGATTTTTCCATTTTGCTGGCCCCTCTCAAGAAGCTGACCATTCTCCTGTTTCCCGGAAATGGAACTAAGAGCCAGATTCGAGCTTGGAGAAGGATTCACGTTACGAGCTATATCATTGAGAAAATGTTTGTATCACCTTTAGTCAAACTCAAAAAAATTCTCTCCTTAGATTCCCTCGATAAAGATTGAGGTTTAGAGGGAAGCTTGAAAGACTTAGAATATACTGCTAGACCTGTTTGTTTTTTCTTTAGAACAAAAGATTCCTTCACCGCCCCAGTCTTCTTCGGTATCTGTTGTTTATTTTTTCTAGAAACTTTAACGCTCCCATTCTGCAGGAGTTGATCTTCTTGGTTCTTTTTTTCCTGGGCCCCAATCGAAGGCTTAGTCAGACTATTAATTAGATCACCCATATGCTTAGCTGGCTGAGGAATATTTTGCGCTGACGTATCCATGATGGTTAACTGATTCAAATCAGGAATGTTGCTTGATTTCTGCAAATTAATTGCATTAAAATCCTGATGATTAGGCATCCTTGCAACGTTATCATCTTTTGAAACTTTGTTAACGTCAGCAATGATTGCGAAACGTGAGCCAATTGGCTGGCCATAATTAGGGACCGTTTTTTTTTATAAAATCTCCCTCTTAACAGCACCTGTATTCACTCCTCCTAAATTGGCATTAACTTGCATGACAGCACCAGATTTTTTCCCCCCATTATTGGCAATTACACCAGGTGCGGATTTTTTGCTCGGAATTGAATGCACTTCATGAGCCTTCTCCTTGATTGCAGCATCCATAGCTGAATTCACGACCTTCTTTCTTCCTCGCTGGTTACGCTGGACAAGCATCCAAGAACCAAAAGCCTCCCCTTCCATCGCCACCTTATGCTGAACTGTGGTGTTTGCCATTGTTGTATGAATCTGAGTACTTTGATTAATAGTACTAGTCGAAGCAGGAGCAAGGGTAGGACATGAATCACGGCGGTGACCATACCTACCACAAGCAAAGAAAACAAGGTGCAAACCTTCATAGCCCACTGGAAAAACACGGTTGCCTATTTTGAATTTAGACAGGAATCCTTTTCGAAGATCAACTTCCACACAAATACGGGAAAATTTTGCTCGATCTGTGAACTCCTTATCTCCTATGATATCTTTCCGAATTGAATTCCTATCAATCTTGAGTGTTCTCCCGAAAAGATTACCTATGTTACATAGGTGCTTAGACGTATAGAATTCAATTGGGAGACCTGGAATACGTAGCCATACAGCCAGCTTCTTGAAATCATCATCATGAGGGTTAAAGAAGGGACGCCAACGTTGAACCATTACATAATGATCAGCTACAATCCAAGGACCCTCTTGCAAAACAAAATTGTAGTCCTCAATCTTGTCAAACCGAAATAAAAAATTCCACATCTTCAACAACCTATTTTGAAAAAACTTCACCCCCACACGCTTTCCTAAAAGTTTCACAATAACTGCCATCCTCCAAGGTTTGCAGCTTTCTTTGTGAATCTCCTTTTCAAAACGATATGAAGGGCAGAACGGATCATCAACAGATTGGTTGCACTCTTCCATGAACTGGGATTCTTCATCCTCCTCAAATCCTAGGTTCTCAAGAACCTCTGTCTCCTTCTCTTCACTTGACCCTCCATTTAAATGTAACAGAGAATCTTTATAAGAAACAACACTCCTTCCTTCTTGTTCTTTAGATCTACGAATACTCCTCTCAAGAAGATCAACCTCTTCTGTGGAGAATTCTTTGCTTTCTCCGTCCTTCATTCTTTCTCTCATTGGTTTTTCTTATTGTACAATTTCCTCTTGTCCTATTATCCACATTCTTTGTTTTCTTTGCTACATGATCGCTTACATTTCTAAGCGGTGCATCAATACCAATGAAATTTAGATCACAAATTCTGTGAAATTGGAAAAAAAGCCGATGATAGATATAATTTACATGATCTCCATTTTTATTCTCCATGAATGGAGATTCCGCTGCAATCATTATTTTTTTTTCTTTGTTTCCTTTCTTCCAGATCTGATCACGATCTGTGAATTTTTTTTTATTTTTTATTTTTTTATTATCATCAGAGCTAGCTTTTGGGGTGGTGTATCCCAAGGTTCTTTACATTGTATGAGAGCCTCACCGCCCCCCACTTTCTCTTGTGGCATTTCTTAGCACAGGTAGGCTGGGCCTGTTGCATTGTCCATTCTTCAAGCCCAATGGGTTCTAATGTGAAAGGGCGTGTTGAGATATATAGTCCCACATTGGTTGTATGTGCAACTAATGTGGAGTTTATAAGGCCTTGGGCACTCCCACCCTTTGAGCTAGCTTTTGGGGTTGTGTATCTTAAGGTTCTTTACATGGTATCAGAGTCTCGCCGCCCCCCACTTTCTCTTGTGGACTTTCTTAGCACAGGTAGGCTGGGCCTGTTGCATCTTCCACTCTTCAAGCCCAATGGGCTCTCGTGTGAGGGGGAGTGTTGAGATATATAGTCCCACATTGATTGTATGAGCAACTAATGTGGCCTTTATAAGGCCTTGGGCACTCCCACCCTTTGAGCTAGCTTTTGGGGTGGTGTATCCCAAGGTTCTTTACAATAGATATTTCATTTCTAAGAGATATCACACATGCCTATTAAAATGTATGTTGTACACATGCCTATAAAAAAAATTAAAGAATGTTTATGACTGCACTTGCGGGCACTTGCCCCAGTGTAGGCCCGCCGCTGTCCGGAATACATAGTTACAAAGACGTGACATAACAAAACTTACACTCTCCAACATTATACTTACATTTCCCATAAATTTTATGTTAAAAATTTACTATTTTTTTGCGTTATGAAAAGAAACTAGTGACGAATTAGTAAACTGGACAGGTTGGGGATCTGGAGATGTTTAATTTTAAGGTTTTGGGTTGAGACATGGTGTCGGATCCACTTGCAATGGTTGGTGTAGCCTTAGCTCATTGGTGGTGGCCCCTCGCTACGGGCTTCCCCCTGGATCAGAGCCGGGTTGGGCTCGAGCTAGCTTAGTGATTGGCTTGGAGGCGGGTCAAATACTTTGCACTTCGGGTACTCGGCTGAGGGGGAACATACCAATAGTGGATTTCACACTTGAGGGGGAGATTTGTGATGAGTCCCACATTGGTTGGTAATGGACTAAGTGAAGAGTATATAAGTGAAAAGACCCATGAACCCAATGCCTTAGGATTTTGGGTTGAGATGTGGTGTCGGACCCACTTGGTGTATTTGGAGTAGCTTAACCCATTGGTGGTGGTTCCTCGCCACGGACTTTCCCTGGACCCCGCCTCAGAGATACTTGTAACGGTAAAAAAAATTGGGTGTTTCATTTACTTAGTTGCTTTGTAATTGATTCTAGCGAGCCAGGAAGATTTAATGTTTCCTTTTCATGGTTATTCCCAGAATGTGAACCACTAGATATTAGCAATATGAAAAGAAACTATTGACGAATTTCCTTACAGCCGGTTCCACGATTAGGACGTATCCACCACACACATGATTGCAATAACATATTTCATATTTAATGTCCATTGATTTGTATATTAATTGTGGATCAAATCATATGACATCTGCTCCCGTTTTATTAGGAACATCAAATTATTAAAATATAAATTTTTTTAAAATCAAGAAAGTCCAAAGTGTGCCTAATATGTTATGCATATCCAGTGAAATCCACATCAAACTTTAAATTCAAAGCTTTTATTTTTTCGAAGTAAATCCTTATGAACAATTACCTAAAACAGAGTTTGTTGGCAAAAGCAGAAAGGGAGGATCCCAGGCATAGGAAAAGCTAACAGTAGCAAAAGCCTGCAATGGATTTCCATTGATAAGGAGACAGCTATCACCTTTCATAGAAAGAATTGAAGGATTAACACCTTCTGTAGTCTGAAACCCTTTACAAGCCAACCGAATCTGGCTTTGTTCACAGGAACAGTTGTTGATCACAGTCACGTTCCACTCAGGCATACCCTGAATTTGTCTCCCACTTCTTGTTGTCCCAATATTGATGTTGTTCAAGGAACAGTTATCAGACCCTGAAAATTTTATGGATCAAACACATAAAGAGATAAAGAGAACATCATGGTTAAACCAGAAAAGAACAAGTTTGGTTAGGATAGTTAAGATACTAAGAAAAAAAAGAAGGAAATTTTCAAGGATTCATGAGCATACCTTTGATGATAAGGGTAAGAAAGAGGATGGAAACAAGAGACTTGAACGTTGTTGCCATTGTCTTTTGGTGACTGACTCTTTTGGCTTTGGTTGTCTAATTAAATAAGAAATAGTTACCTAGCCCTGGCCAATGAACAACATTCAGCATATGTGTGTTTTTTGTTTTTCTCATGTTTTTGAGAAATTTTGATGGGATTTAAATCAAATTCTCTTACCTCACACACGCACACACCATATGAAAAAGTGACTTTAATTCGTGTTTTGTCCTGTATCTCTTTGACTATCTCTCCAATTAAATGAAATCACGTCTCTATGAAATATGAAAAAGGATAAAGTTTTAACCTATTTTTGTTTATAATCTCTTATAATATGAGGAGGGTTATATTTATAAATTTTTTATTTACAAACTACATTATGTATTTTCGGAAGTACATTTGATTACACTATATATTTCCGGGAGTGATGTACATAGTATAATTTGTAAAAATTTATAAAAAAAATTAGTAAACGGATCCTTTCCCTATAAATATATCTTAACTTTTGATTTTCGCCAATCAACGGTTACCATTTATTGAAAATTGATAATTAATTAGTGAGTTTGATTTACGAAAATAATAACCATTAGTTGACAGAAATCAACGGTTAAGATATGGTTGTAAAAGGTTATAAACCAAAATAAGTTGTAAAAATATCCTTCCTCATGTAACAAAGATACCCATATTATATAACGGAAAAGAAATTAAATACCAGTTATATATTTCATGAGTGGAGTTATTTTATTTTTATTTTTTTGATAACAAGAGTTATTTTTACAACTTAAAAGCTTTACAACTTATTTTTTCTCTGTTGATTTTTGTCAATCCAATAATTATAATTTATTGAAAATTAATAATTAACAATAAATATGACTCAATAAATCATAACCGTTAGATTGACGGAAATCAACAGTGAAAAAATAGATTGTAAAGCTTTTAGGTTATAAGAATAGCATTCCTCTTTATTTATTTATATATATATATATATATATATATATATCATTTCAGTAAGAAAAGAAAAATGAAGGATTGAGGCTGATTTGCTAGTATAATTCACTTGATGTAATTTATCTAAATGAAAATATTAACAAATATATAAATACAATTAATATGCGCTAAATGTGGCAGAGAAAAAAATCCAAATTCATGCCACATTTAGCGCATATTAATTGTGAAAAAAAATCCAAATCCAATTTTATCAAAAAAAATAAAAAATTCAAATCCATTGAAATCAATCCTCTCATGTTAAATAAAATATGATATGATTATGTGGAAAAATCATAATTATCCAAAGGTAAATCAACTGTGATGATTTTGTAATTATATATTTTAATATATATTTTATCTTCAAAAAATATATTTTTCTCTCTCTTCCCTTATCATCATTGATCCATATTACATGACTATAATTATAATTTTTTCACATGACCATATTATGTTTTTTTTTTTAGATGAAAAAATTCACTTTCATTTCTTTCAAAAAGCCTCCATGATAAGAAAATGCATTCACACACCATATGGAACTGTTTCATGACTTCATCACTATACTAACTTGTGAATATTTGATTGACTATAACTAATAGCATTACAAAACTTATAACACAATTAAAATAAACAGATAACAACAAGTACCAGACAACACCAACAAATTACACGAAAGGATTTTACCAAACAAGGAAAGTACAACAAACACTACAAATACATTAAACTTAACAACATAAATTATACAATACAATTCACACAGACACATCACAGAAACACAATATTCATAATATATACTAAATCATCTCTGATCTAGAGAGTAGCTATAACAACCCTCTGCTAAAAGTTGAGAGACGGAGAGAGAGAGAGAGAAAGAAAGAGCCATGGATCTAACTGTATATTCATTATTAATTCACTATTACAAGAGAACTGTATTTATAGTATCTAAACAATAACTAACTAAAAGATAACAACAGATTCTCTAGTTCTAAACAGAAAGATAAGGAGAGCTAATCTAATACAGACAGTAGTACCATATACAAAAATACATCAACATTTTTGAAGCTAAAGAGCTTATATCTCTAATACCCGCCCGCAAGCTCAAGGAGGCTTGGATGTAACAAGAGAACCATCCAAGACTTTGAGCTTGGTGCGTAACTCAGCAAACCGGACAGAGTTAAGAAGCTTAGTTAGAGTGTCTGCTATCTGATCAACACTGGGAACATGAGTGACCAGAAGCTCTCGTTTTAAGACTCGTTCACGAACAAAGAAAATGTCAAGCTCCATGTGTTTGGTCCTAGCGTGAAGAACTGGGTTGCGAGTAAGAGAAACCGTACTTTGATTGTCACAGAAGACTTGAGGAATAGAGAATGAAACATGAAGCTCTCCAAGTAAGGACAGAATCCATAAGAGTTCAGCACAAGTAATAGCCAGGCTACGGTATTCAGCCTCGGTACTGGAACGAGTAACCGAGGTTTGTTTCTTGGACCACCAAGAAATAAGATTGGGACCAAGAAATATAGCTGCCCCAGATGTGGACCTCCTGTCATCGGGATCCAAGGCCCAATCTGCATCACAAAATGCAGTAAGGGACAAAGGAGCAGTGGCACAAGTACTCTGCAGCTGTAATCCAAAGGAAGAAGTGCCTTTCAAATAACGCAGTATACGTTTGACAGCAGCCCAATGATCATCCAACGGTTGTGCCATAAATTGGCATACTTTATTTACCGCATAGCTTATATCCGGTCGAGTAATAGTTGCATATCGAAGGGCACCTACAATGGATCTGTAGTGATGAGGATCTGAATAGTAGTGAGACCTGTAACACCACGTTTATACCCGGAATATTAACATTTCATCGTATTAAGCGGTGCTTAATTAAAAATGCGAAATATTCTTTTTCTTTTCAATTATGACGTCATTATCAATTACCAACTTGATTACTTAATCAATTTCATAAAATATCGCCTGTATGTAAATTGCAATAAGACATCTACTGAAATACCTCAATATATAAATAAAGTGTGTATCTAAATCACGTAATTACATCTCGTAATCCGGACAATATCCTGATACATTATTACAACTCTAAAAGACTCAAGACATAAACGAGACATAACAACACTATGTGTCATGGACAATCCCCATGCTCACCAAATAAACATAGTAAACAACCAGTCTCAACATAAAACTCCATAAACATAACTGAAGCTATAAGCATATAAACAGCATGCAAATCCAGCATCCAATCATGGCAGCATAATATAACACCAATCTAACTCAGCTCCGGCCTCCTGTCGCCTGAGGTCTCAACATTATCTGACCCTGAAATAAGCATTCCCCAAATGTGGGGTGAGATCTCTAAACAAGAAATCTCAGTAAGACAAGGGGTCCTCAAGGATTTTCCACCCCAAGCTCACTTACATGTGCAATATAAGTTCAAAAAGCATTTATATCATTATCAGTTCCAAAACTATGTAGTGCAACAGATATCTATGGCATGTGTGTAATCACTATCTACTGGCCGGAGAAATGTAGGAATACGTCTATTCCCTACATGTAGTACAAGGAATGCCGCTTTCACCTCACCCACAGCCTCACCCTCTTGTATGTTCTACATACTCAGGCTTACCGTATAGGTGGAACACCTCCATGCATATCAACAAGGCACTAACATACAATAGCTCAACAGCATTTCCAAAACATCAAAAGCATGTAACACAACATGCATATAACCATATCCCCATGGGACATGGTGGAACCACAACATGGCTAAACTGAGGACACAAAAGCTTACCTCTAAGCTAGCTATCCAATGCCACAAGCTCAAAGTCCAATCACAGCAGATCACAATCTGATATGGACCAAATATAAATCAATAAACATGTACCACATGCATACAAATTAAAGACAACGCATTTTCATTACGTTTTATGTCTTAAAGCTTCTAACAAAGCCACAAGCCCTTAATCACATGATTCTGGCTTAGTCCATAAATACAGAAGTTCAACTTCATCAAACTAGGGTCCACACACCCCCAATAGCCTACTGTACACACAGCACAGCTACTGTTCTGCGAAATCCCAGAATATCCGGATATTCCTTGGGACCATATCCGGATATGCAATATCCGGATATCTCACTGTCCATATCCGGATATGCAATATCCGGATATACAGATTCACATATCCAGATATCCAATATCCAGATATCCCAAAACCCCATATCCGGATATCACATATCCGGATATCATATCCGGATATCCAATATCCGGATATTCCACAGGCAGATATCCGGATATTTCACGACAGAATGCAGTTTCTGCATTTTCGTGAAGATATCCCTTAAAGGTTCCTTTTTTACCGATTTTAAACACCTAACCATGCATTTCTAGGTGTGTTAAGCCTTACCCAACAACAAGTTATCATCTTTTAACCTTAACATGCATCAAGCTTCCATTTTTAAGCCTTAAAACTCAAGTTAAAGGTTGGTGATCATACCACAGCTCAAAAACAGAGGATGGGGATGCTCTTGGAGCTCAACACAGCCCCTCAAGTCTGACTCAAGGAAGATGCACGAAAATGAACAAGAAGGTAGGTCTTTCACTCAACAAGAAGGCATCTTGGAGCATCAAAATGCTAACAAAAGGTCACACCCCTCAAGAACAGCAAACTCAGCTCTTCAAACTCCCTCACACAGGTTCTCCAACTCAGAAACAACACCACAATGCAGTCCCAAGGCCAACCCTCACCCTCACCAAGTGTTTAAATGGAAGAACAAGCATCAAAGGTGAATGCTTGCTCAAGAAATGGAAGGGAAAGCAATGGAACAGTGTATAAGGTGCAAGTGAGCCACCAAGTCACGTAGACAAATCTGAGTGCCTAGGGTTTAGGGCCAAGTGTGCCTATTTATAGTGATTTAACACATAAACGCACAATATTAACTTTAATTGCTACGCTTAGCATTTTAATCCCAACTTTGGATTCTGAAACTACACATTTTTCCAAGAATTAAGATATTTTTATTATATTTTTCTGAGCACCTTTCCGGTACGCGCTTTTCAGAGCCAGTATCGGTTTCTAGCACCAGTTCTCATTATTTGGACTTGAAACTCGTTTTACAAGTCCTACATATTATTCTAGTAATTATCATGCACCTATATTAAT